AAAAATCATTCCGAATACAGCCACAGCGCTGTTTTGTGTCTTTGAGCAACATGACGGTGTTTCGTTCTTGAATGAATCAAGCGTTTAAATGATTCGGTTCAATCGCAATGACTCACTTATTAACAGTGATTTGCTGCCACCTGCTGGCGGTTTTAATTTCAAATTTCGGCTTTTTCTTTCTTTTCTTTTTTGTTTTTTTTTCATGTTTTAAATCATTTCAAATATCAGTATTCAGCGTTTTGTTTAATATATCAAAACATTATTTATGCATTTGTAATTGCAGGTTAAATGCATTCATGTCTTGCATTAAACAAAATACATGTGTGTAAATACATCTAAATGCCACTTCAGATGCAGCTTCTGTGTTGATTTCATTTGCTTGGTAACAGCCCAAATGTCTTATTATTCTAATTCCCTGATTAAATGTAAGAATTTGACTCAAAAGATAATGGACACTTTTAGAAAAAATGGCTTTATAAAGGTAAAAATGCCCATAAAAGGTAAAAATCAGTTTAAACTTATTGGAAAATATTAATTTCTATCAGTATGAACTGACCACCACACAGAATATGAAGAATATTAAAAACATTAGGAGTCAGCTGTCTTCGGCAGTCCTTAAGATACCAGCACAATAACACACTCAGCAAAATATCGTCTAATTATCGTTATCTATAAAATCCCAGAAAATATCGAGATATAATTTTTTGTCAATATCGCACACCCCTAGCTGTAAGTTGCTTTGGATAAAGTGCCTGCTAAATGCATTGATGTAAATACTGTATAGTAAGGATTTACAGGCATATAGACATCAGCATCAAAACTCCTCTGCCAATATGGTTTAATTACAGTCATCTTTGTACATTCAAACAAGTACCATAGCAGATGATTAAAACTGAATAGCTACTAAATGGACTGCAAAAATAGGACTTTTTAAAACAGATTTAGCATGAATACAGTTTAGTGAAAAATGAATGAGGAAATGTTAGCGGTTTAATAAGGAATGTCATGCACATTGTTGATCGTTTGTACAATGACTGTTCAGCACTTCACTAAAACAGATGTGCACGCTTAGACTACATTTCCAGATGTTTTTCAAACGCTACAACACACGCACTTTGTATTCAGTGGGAGATCCTATAAATCCTGATGAAGGAAAGTTTCATTCCTTCTTGTGACTTTGTCATTCATTCAGTCTGCTCTCAAACACTGGAGTTATTTCTGCTTTACAAAACAACAACAAAACATCATGTTACTCAAAGATACAGCCATGAATTCTGCTCAAATATCCATGGTAAGAACCACAACAGCTCGAAAAAGGAAAAGGAAATTGTCAACGGAGAGCTGTGGGAAAGGAAGCATTCACGGGATTGTAATTATGAATGTTTTTGTTAGTCGAGTCCTCTGAGAAAATCCTACATACAGATGCAGAAGTCCTACAAACACATTGTTGTGTCTGGGTCAATCTGACCCATGTTTGATTAACTGGTTAAACTATTCATTTCTTCTTAGAATTTGGTGACTTTTTCTCATGCATGCAAAGTTATTAAAGCACAGATATTTTTAGAAAGGCTGTACAGAAACTATGACCTCAAATTGACCCCCATTGGTGTCCATGCAATTGGCCAATTTTGATCAACACTAAAGAATGGAAAACCTTTATTGTAACTGGTTAAACACTAAAATATGACACACGTGAGAAATATACGACTCAAAGTTTACTCAAAACTAAGACTTGTTTTCTGAATCATCCACTGGAAAACTACTGTTTCTTCATCTAGTTAAGTTTCACAGCCTAAAATTTGGCCAAATGTAGTTTTTTCCATTGCTTTTTTGGATCTAAATAATTAGACTGTTTCAGCACTGAAAATAAATGTGAGAAACCCATTTCACCCTCATATATACAGTATATATATATGTAGCACGAGTATATTTGTAGCAATAGCCAAACATACATTGTATGGGTCAAAATTATCGATGCTTTTTTTAATGCCAAAAGTCAATTCATGTTCCATGAAGATATTTTGTAAATTTCCTACCGTAAATATATAAAAATTTCATTTTTGATCAGTAATATGCATTGCTAAGAACTTCATTTGGACAACTTTAAAGGTGATATACATCAATGGAAAGCTTATTTATTCAGCTTTCAGATGATGTATAAATCTCAATTTAAAACAATTGACCCTTATTGGAAAAATTGGTCTCACACACACACACACACACACACACACACACACACACACACATATATATATATATATAACACAACAGAAATACAATAATAAGGGAATTATTAAATTTCTCACATATTCATTAATAATAACTATAGGCTACAGTTTTTCTGTTTTTACACAAAACTTTAGATATGATTTTTGCCAATTTGATGTTTTTTTTTTTTTGTTGCATGGAAACCAAAATAGTACAAAAATAGTACTGGATTTCAAAACAACAGGAAGGTTAGATCATCTGAACAGTCCAGGATCTGATTCACCCAATCAATACGCACTTAAGCAGGAATGTGTCTGCAGTATTTCACGACAGGAGTCACTCACAGTCAACATGAAAGCAAAACTGACGCGATTTACCTCTGTGATAAACATTCCTGCTCTAACTGTTAATGATTCATCAGAACAATCAATCAAGCACTCACTTCTCCATGAATAAAATCAAGTTCTGCCCTACATTTCTTTTCACCAAGAATATATTGTAAACAAAAAATGAAATGGATCCATATATATATTGATATCCATCATATGATATCTAAAACAATGTTTTGCATAAAATGCCAAGCTCACCATGAGTTTATCTGACAATAAACCAACTCTCAGAAGTATTCAAACCTAAATAACAATGCTGTTTCAAAACCTCTTCAAACTATCTGTTACTCAATTAGCACCGAGTCACAGCATTTCTATTTTAAGACAGTATAATGAGCTGTTTTGTCTGTTAACAGCCAAATGTGCTGCTGTAGTTACAAGTCAATCAGATGGGCGAGAAAACACAGTAAAAACAAACCGCAAAGCGTTTGCATTATGAACATTATTAATCTTTTATTGCTGTTTACTGTAGAAAACACTCACTGACAGAGACTCATTTAGTTTTAGAAATGTTGGCATTGGACAAGTGTTGGGAAATTCAGCTGTGAATCCTATTTAGACTCAACAGGTTTCAGTAATTCATCCTAAACATAGAAACATATTTGATAAATGCTATAAGACCCAGCTAACAAAAATTAAAATGTTATTTCAAACTTCATTCATTCAAAAATTGCTAAATGTTTTTAAAAAGTTTTTCTTGGTTATGTTAACATTGGAAGAAAACATTAACGGAATGTTCAATTTGATCATTTTGCAAACATTATGGGAACGTTGCTTCGGAATGTTTTCTGAACGTGCTAAAACAAGTAGTAACGTTTAAAAAACAGACTAACGTCCAACTAAAATATTTCAGAAAAATGTCCCACGAATGATGTACAAATTGTGCTAATGTCTCGATAATGTTATTAAAGACCAGATAATTTTGAACGAATGTCCTATTAACGTTACTGGAAGAATGTGTCATCATAACTTTGAGAGAACTTAGCCAGAACGTTCTGAGAACAGTCCCTGTTAGCGCAGAATACTGTATGTAGTTCATAAATACTACTATGAACTAATATATTTGAATGAATTTGTAGCACTGACCTTTGGCATTACTGGGTTGACCTGCTAAAAATTATTTCAAAGTGTAACTATACTGATTTAATAGATAGATATAGCTTATACCTAAAAATATTTTTAAATCACATCACTATTCTGGACATGTACCATGGTAATTTGCCCTCGAAGTGGGATAAATACCAGTGCATGAATATGGCAATTATTTTTTAACATTGTTTATATCAACGTATGTTTTACTAAAGTCATCATATTACGGAAGTGAATGTATCGCAGACTCGCAGTATTGTATATCATCAGTGTTACTTTGTAAATGTAATAGGTTACAAATGACCCTATTTCAAATATAAGTATTGTAACTATTTAAATACCTTTATTAAAGTAATATAACTGATTACATTTGATTACTTTTCTACATTTCTAACAAATGTTTTCAACTGAGTCAACCTTACAGTAGGCTACTCAACACTGATTACATCGCTTGAATTAGGACTATAATCATTGAATTTTAAAGCACAGCCACCTTTAAGACTTTAGCACCTCTTTTTACTTTGAGATAATTCTGAGGTATATACAGATTTAAAACCATAACAAGAAATAGTTTAATAGCCATGATTCTGTTTTTGAAATCAAATCTTTGCATAGCTATGAGAGGAAACACTGGCATCTAAAAAAACCAACAACTGTTAATCTTACAAATAAAGCATATACATACACCCAAATAGAAAATAAAACACCTATCGAATAAGCTTGAGTCTTAAACTCCTGAAACATTGCTGTCTCATATTTTAGAGCAGTCAGTGCACTTTGGGAAAGAAATCGATCAAATCTGTATGTGTGTGAAAATATTCAGATGTTATACATTTTCATAAGTAACAGTAATTTAATGACATTTTTTCAGTAACTGTAACAGATTAGTTACGATTATTTTGTAATTAAATTACGTAATTCCGTTACATGTAACTAGTAACTCCCCAACACTGTAGCCTAGGCTATATATCATTCAGAGCTCACACACTCACGTGAATCTTGTTGAACTGTGCGTCGTAAAACGTTACTTGCTTCTCCAGCGTGATCTCCTGAGTCTCGTCATTGCCTTCATGAAGAGACTGGTCGCCTGCGCTTCTCCCGAATGGAAAAAGTTCTTGTCGTGTTATCCCGCTGACACACACTGACAATCCCAATAATAAGATCCACACTGGCCATCTCTGCCCCTGCCGATCCATTTCCAGTCCCGAACCGAAGCTGAAGCTGCCTGAGACTCACTGACTGACTGATTGAGGTGAAAGCCCGTTTTAACCAGCAGCGCTGCACCGGAGCCTGCAGTCTCAGGACCGCAGCTCTAGGACCCTATTTTTTTGTGACAGCGCCATCTAGCCAATTCTATTCCAACAAAAGAGACCTGATTCAAACAAAATTCAACCATAAAACAGATGCAAAGACTACATTGTAACAGGGGAAATTTTTTTTTTTTTTTTTTTTGAATGTAAAGAAATTTACCGTAAAAAATATGGTAGCAAGTTAGGGTTTACGGATTTACGGATTTAACTTAAATTTACAATTTAAATTAAAAATGTTAATAAACCAACCCATTGAAGTTCTGAAATCTGTTTTGTACCTGATACACTGATAATCATCAAAATCAGGTGGTGATGAGAAAGTCACGTAATGAACCAAATCTCACCACAAGCAGCTTTTCCACAAGCTGAAAAGGCCAATACTAAGATAGATCGAATCACAGACAGATAGACAGACAGACAGACAGACAGACAGATAGATAGATAGATAGACATTCAGATAGATAGATAGATAGATAGATAGATAGACCGATAGAGAGACAGATAGATAGACAGACAGACAGATAGACAGATAGATAGA